TTCGATTGAGTTGGACGTGATATATTTTATTACTGAAATGAATGCATGGATGAATGTTAAAATCTTTCAGGTGCATGAAATGTCTAAAAATCTTCAGTTTATTTCCAAAATAATTCCGTTTATGTTCGCTGTTCTTTAAGGGTATTTATGCTATGGATCAAATCCGAAATCCAAAATTTCCTTTCTGTTTCTTGATTTCTCTCTTATGTTTCAGCTTCATTGCTTGTTTATCAATACTGTAATTCAATATATCACCGATTATTTTTATCAATTATTTTTATCGATACCGATTATTTTTATCACTATTATTTTTATCAATATTTATCAATACTGTAATGTAATTCCATACATCGCTGATCAAATTTTTCTTCTGCATTCGTCAGCCATACTGATTATTCATCGTTCATTGTAGTGTAAAACTCGTCACTCAGACCATTTTCTTAGACCTACAAATGTACTTTGAGAATATTTATTTTTCCATATTCCTTTAGAAATTTCGTTGTTTTTGCCATCTGAATCGTGTACTCGTAAGAATTTGCTGATGATGTGTAAATTGCGATGAATTCATAGAATGAGGTGAATGGTTACAGTGATGGCCGTACGAAACAGCTTTGACGATACGGACTTCATCGAGCCAGAAGATGACTTTGCCGAGGATGATCTGTTTACTGCGGACGATAATAACATTCCAAGTTGGTCATTTTTCATTTGGAAATGTTGGAAACAATTTTATTTCTTCGTTTTTTTTGATTTATTGGAAGAATGTGCGTTCACCAGTGGTAATTTGAAGGTTTGGTTCTGGGTGATGCAATGCAGAAATCGTTTCTGGAACGTGACAATTTCGAGAAAGAGCTGGATTTGGCCGCAGACGATCCGTTCGCTGAGGATTTTACGGATATCAGTCAGCACGATATTGTGAATGTTATCGCGGACGGAGATCGCGTTGGAAGGTAACTGCTACCTGCTCATTTCTTCCTTTTTGAACATATGATTGCTTTAGTTCCACAGGTTCCTGTTTCATTTCCATCTTGTGACAGTTTTGATTCAATTCCTGTACTGATCCTTAATAAAGTCATATCAGGGTTATGCCACGATTTGTGGTTGATCGATTGAATTAGATATTTTGATTATAAAATGAGGCAGCATCTTGCACCATCGTTGGACCAAATTTTGTTTGATTTCGAGTAGTTTTGGGATATTTTAACTTTTCTGAGAAGTGTTGTAAGTGAGTAATTTTGAAAACATTTCAGGCCAATAATCGTCATTTATGCGTATCGATTTCCGTCGAATAAAACATTTGATCATCAGAAATTTTTGAGGTTTTTATATTTGTTTATTTCATATTTTTTGATTTTGTCGTTTATTTCATAATTTTAGTTTTATCCCATTCAGCGAATCTCTATTTTCTAATGTCACGGAATAATGGTATGTGCAAAAGGGATGGAATTTATTGGATAGATAATGTGATACATAGTGTGATTCGCAATTATTGAGAACAGTTGCTGATGATTTCTTATGAGCAGAACTTTTCACTTGATTCACTTGATTTCAGATTTTTGCAATTCACATTGAATAAAGTTGTAGAACTGGATTATACAATTGTTTATTTTCATTATGGTTTGAGAAGTAACAATAAACCACCGTTGAAGTGGTTATTACAAGCATATAATATCCTCGACCGAAAGTATCTTTTTAAAGAATTTTGAAATTTTTCATTATTATTAATCTTTCAATCTGTTGAATCTCTGAAATTATTTCAAAGATATCTCTGTTCTAAAAATATTTTAAAATTTTCATTATTCACTTACCTTAACTCATCATATCCATTTCCGATTAAAAACTCACTTCGTTACTTCTTATGAAATATTGTCTGATGCAAAGCGATTGCTCCAAGTAATGAAGATGTATAAAATTTGAGGTATAAAAAGAATCTGAAGGCACTATTCCTGGTGCATCCGACACGTTTCATACGTTTCGTTTGGGGTATATTCAAGCCGTTCATATCGATAAAATTCGAACGAAAAGTGCATTATGTGAATTATTTGAATGAACTCAATGCATATTTACGTGTGGAACAGTTGAATTTACCACAACCAATCAAAGAGTTCGTTTGTTGTGTTGAAATGTTATCGTTTCGGGTGGGGAATTTGGTAGATCGGCATGAAACTCGTTGGTTCGGAGGGAATTTTTAGTATTAGTAAGATATATTAGTATAAGTATATTGTAAGTTTGGATTGTAAGACCAATATAACTGATATCATTTTTTGTTGGTAGATTCGATTTTTTGTTGATAGATTTAAAGAAGAATGTAATATTGGTGATATAGTGATATCAGTGAT